TGGCGACAGAATCTTAAATTTTAAAGAATATTCTTAAAGAATATTTTTTAAGTTCTAAATTAGAATTTTCGCTAATTAATTGTTTTTCTTAGATAATTCTTCTTTTTTAGATAATCCCTAAATCTGAATTGTTTTTATTCGCAAATTTAAATTAAAAAAAATTAATAAAGAATTCTAAATCTTAAAGAATATTTTTTGTGTGCCATCATCAACTGACAAACACGTTGGAACCTCGCAGTGTAATTTTCACACGTAACATACGCAAATACTAAAACCGACCAGACATCAGTATAAAGTTAGTTTTCCAAAATTGCAAAAATTTTTGAAGCTTGCTAAATTCTTATTAGTAGAAAATCTGAGTTTTTTCAAAATTTTAATATCGAATCAGAAAGCTGTAGGGTTAGCGCCTAAAAACCATCTCACTGCTAAACAAAGCATTTACCTGAAACACTGATCCACGCCACATGATGGGGTGCTTAATATTGTTCGTATAATTTCTTCGGCTGTTCGCGCAGGCACTTTAGGAGGCCGAACTCCTGAGCCAAATTTCTGCAATTATTTTCACTGAAGGCATCAAAGCACTTAGGAGAAAAAAGGAACCCACCGTAACCCACCTTAACCTACGAAAGTTGACCGCAGCAGGTAAACCGAAAAAGCACAAAAACAAGAAAGTTAAAAGTATTTTAAATTTAATTTTAACCTTAAATCTTAGAAAAAATTTCAATAAAAATTTTTAACAAAATTTAAAAGAATAAATAAAATTAATAAAATCCTTTATTTTATTGAAAAAATTAATAAAATAAAAAACTTTGATAAAAAAGCAAAAGCGGATTAAAGTATTTAATAAAAATAAAAGTAAAAGAAAAGCAAAAAAATTTTCTGCCTGGAAAATAACCGCGAAAATGAGCACCCAGCGTTGTCGTTGCGTTTTACTGTAATTTGGCACTAATGCTTTTTTCATCGATAGAATGATATTAAAGGCACGAGAAAGATCAAACTGACCTGTTTCAATGTTGGATCAATTTCTTCTTGACGTTTGATTACGCGCAGAGAGCTGTTGATGTCTTGCAACAGTTCTTCATCAACTTCATCATCACACAGAGCAGAAAGTTTCGCAAAAGACAGCAAACGCTAAACACGATAATAAACATTAGGAATATTTTCCCCGGTTTTTTTGCTTTCCCCGGGCCCTTACAACCATTGCTACAATTTTACAAAACATTCATGAAATTCAAATATTTCTTTTGTAAAATGAAAAAAATGGTTATGAAATGAAAAAAATAGTAAAAAGACTGGAAAAATCAGTGCGGAGAATCTTCACTGTGTTAGTTTTTTTCATTTTACTGATGATTAATGATCCATCATAATCTTAACAGTAATCTAATCTGTTTCTGTTTACCGTAATCTATCGTAATCTAATCTGTCGTAACCAATAATCTTTTAAAGAAAATTATAATCGTAATCTATGTAATTGTTTAAAATAGCGTGTAAATCGCCTACCTTTTTGGTAATCACATCGTCATTGGACTTCTTCGACAGAGACTGTAACGAACGGCTTGCCTGCAGTTAACATTAGAATTCAACGAAATTCTTCATTTCGCACGAAAAATTCGAAATACTACTGCAGATGCATAATTTACAAGTTTCTCTTATCAATTTAGAACTCTAAATTATCACAAAATTACTTTCAAAAAAAAAACAGAAATCTCAATTATACGGAGTGCTAACTTTAGCGAATTTGTCACGTTCAATTTCTCGCATCCACGCTATATCAGGCCGAGCTGCGAAG